CAACTCTCATAGGTATTCATTGTATTTTGTGACCTTGCATTATTTCCTCGCGCTTGCCTCATGCAACGTATCAACAATAAACAATAAAATTGAAGAGACGCACGTACCATCGCTACTTATAATTCGCAGTCTGGCATGAAATGTCATTACCTATTGATGGACACTCATCTCGGCTGTTCATCCTAGGATTCTTACCGGAAATCCGAAACGTCTCTAACGCCTTTCTTGCCAAAATTTCCGTCTCCTGCGCTAATATTACATGCTTAATTTTGAAGTTGCTTTCATTACCTTCCATACTACTAGAACACTTGCACGACTTGCAATTCTTTCCTCGTAAAAATATTCCGATCCGAAATCTCGGAATTTGTCCCGTCCCCTTCTCACCTTCACCCGGCTCTGCACTCATCTCACGTAGATAGTGCTTCTGGGATAGCTTGGTATCACAAGGCACGTCGCTCACTGGCCTTTACGTGAGACTATCCTTCTACGCTTGTGAAACAAGGAAAACGCTTCGAACAATAAACGGCTATTTTCTGCGAACAGTATGCCAGCACTACTCGGCGAAAGAAGAGCTATAGCAATGAATTTTTCGTAGGCTCACTTATTCTGCACTGCAACATTCAACTCTGTAAGAAGTTGTTAATTACAAAATCCGTACCTCAGCAGTGTTGGGAGCAGCTGCAGGTGGAGGAGCTTCACCGGTTTCCATAGATTCAGCAGGAGCAGCAGTTTCAGCTGGGGCGGCAGGAGTCTCCACCTGACAAAATCATATACCATTCTTCTCCTAGTAATCTGTCGGATCAAAGCAACACCTATTAATGCAGAACAATGACCTGTCCACTTATAGGTTTGAATTCAAACACAACACAAGCTTGTTGTTAGCTTTCCAGAATAAAAAGTTCATGATTTTCATAAAAGAGGAAACGCGAATTCGAAAAATCGAAAGAAAAGATGGTTAAACTCACGGGTGCTGGAGCAGACTCAGTTGCAACGTCAGCCATGCCTAAAGACGACAGATCAAGCATAGGCTCTACCAATTAGTTAAAGAATTTCACGACCAAGCAAGAATCAAAACTCCGTCGAAATAAGTCAATACAACCAAGGGGCAACAAGTATGTTCATGTTCATTAAAACAGCAGCAATTGAGCAGTCACATATTTCAAACCGCATAGCCGGAATCTTGTATAATCAATTTATCAATTTCGAGAATGAGTGAGGGGATCTGTTAACCCGAGAAAGTTTCGATTTTACCGAGCACTTCCTAGAAAAAAGACTCTACGCGCCTTTTCACTCATTTCTTAAGGATTAATTTCAACAAGGAGACACGATTCGCATATTCTGCAGCTCAGTAAAAGCCACGGAGCGGTTCTAATGGAAATGGTCAGTAGAGCATGATGAGAAAGCCTTGAAAGGCACGCTTCATCTAAGAAAGCTGTTTCGCTGCCTCACCGAGGTAGCAGTTGAAACAACTCATAAAAAATCCCCAGCATATTTCAAGCCAGTGATCAATTTCGAATAGAACGGTGAAGTGCATATACTCAATGGAAAAGCAAAAAAAAGAAGCATGGGTTTTTGCTGCTAATTTTTCTCCGTGTGTAATCCGACAAGGAATCGTTATTAAAGTGATGGGGACTTCTAGGTTGTGCGGAGTATCGGAGGCTTCTAAAAATCATTGAGCACAATGAAATGGTTTCACTCTCGCTAACCCTCCTCGTCATGGGCAGAAATCTTACCCACTGGTCACAACTGCCTCTTTGCATTTTCAGCAATGAATGCTTTTATACCACCCTACGATGGTGTTAAACTCATAGTCCACACCTGAAATGACGAAGTCACTAAAACCCTGATTGGAGCCAACCAAAACGCGGGATACCATCACCACTACCTCGGAGGGGACAGAAGAGTATCCTGCCGCATGGTTCCCCCCTCTCAAATACGTTGGCACCAAATACTATTCACGCGAACAGACCAGGGTAAAAAAATACACCAGTCAGGGACTCCGGAAAAGCATTTACAAGCTTCTAGCTTTTGCATTAGAACTGATGTTGGTGCTAACGCAGTTAGGA